CAAACCAATTGAGAAATTGAAAATTTTGAATGAAAAATATTCAAATTCGTTTAAATTTTTGAAAAATGCATATCGTAACAACCTATGAGTGGCGTCGTATAAGAAAACGTGTAAAAAAGAAAAACTTAAATTGTAGCCACATTGGTTAGCTGTAAAATTTAAATTTCAACAGACATAACAAGTGTTCAAGAACCTGCAAGGATTAATTTTTGCAATTTTTTTCGATATCATAAAGTGATAATTTATCATTTATTATCGTAGTAAAAACTTTTACATTTTTGCTGTTCTGGAACAGACCAAAGGCTACCATAAGAAAACAATGTATTCAGGTAATTCCTAACATTGAAAAAAAATACAAAAAAATACTGCTGTATTCTGTAAAAAAAAAAAAAAAATACTGCCGTCCTCGGAGTCCACCCCCCATCCATTGCAGCCGAAGAACGTCAGCTGCCTAGACAAACCAGGGTAGTTTTGGCGCAATTACGTTCAGGATGGTGTAGTCGCCTCAATTCGTATTGGGCACGAATTGATGAAGATGTGCGTGACGCCTGCCCGGCGTGCGATACAGGCCCGCACAATACGCTACACCTTTTTAATTGCTCAGCCAAACCTACCCAACTCACTCCAGAGGATCTCTGGCTACAGCCCGTTAAAGTAGCCGAATTTCTAAACCTGGAGCTGGAACCAGATTAGCAGAACACAAACACACACATGCACTACTGCTACAACAACAACAACAACAACAAAAAAATACTGTTTGGCCTGTAATTTCAGTTTTGATTTTGAATAAATAACTGAAACCGCGAAAACTGAATGAAAGGTCAAAATGTCTTTTCAAAATCATGTTCTATATATCTCTAAAGACTTATTTCGCTACAAAAAGCTGAAGACATTGTCGATGCTTGCGTTGTAATAAGCATTTTGAAAACACTCGAATTTTGAATATTTTTGCTCTGTTGCAGTACATGCAGAAATCTACTTGTTTTGCAATTTTCTTCGATATCATAAAGGGAAAATCGGTTATCGTCGTTGAAACTTTTACATTCTTGCAGTTCTGGAACAGCCCATTTCTGGACAATTTTTTTATTTTTGAAAAGAATACACATACATAAACAAATAATGTTTACATGTTAAGCCAAGAAAATAAAAACAATAAAATAAAAATTTTATTGTACCGTGGGTTAACCCAACAAGAAGTCCTAACGTTAACATGGTAAGTCCCACAAAAAGTTCTAATGTAAATGCTCTCTCCCAGAACCTGCAAGAATCTACTTGTTGAAATCTTCAAAATGTGCAAGGTATTGTTAAAGTAGACCGATCAAAAAAATATCAACTATCCAAGCATATTAGTTTTAAAACTTTACATAGAATAATGTGAACTTTTTCTTGATCGTACAAATTGACGAAACCCATTCCAAAGTCGACTTAGAATTATATTATGATCTATAATATATACATGATAAGGTCTCATATTTCGAGCTATACCAAACAAATGTTGCAATTTAAAGTTCTATATGTGTTTTGGGCATTATCTATGTAAATGGATATAGATTTGCTCTGGTCTATTGATGTAATAAGACGTTCTTATTGAAGCTTTTTGCCGAAATCCGCTCTGTGAGGGTGTATTTAACGTATGTCTCATAAAACTCAAATTTTGGTTAACTATAAACGATTTATAACATAGCTAGCTATGTAAACTAAAACCTTATAAAAATTTAAATTTTTGCCATTGAGAACGATGATAATTTATTTTTCGTTCAAACATAGACGTCAGAGGACCACAATTCTTGCGGCTTAAACCCAGCCCTGGTCAGCGCGACGATTATAACAAGGACAAGACTCGGCAAAAAGAAAACATGCAGTGTTTCGTTCATAATTCATTAATAACTATTAAAACAAATTATTTGTTCTCCTTAATATGTATGTCGGCTTCATAATTTCTCTTGTGTTTAATAATATGAACTCTTCTTATGGTCTCCAATCTTAGTTATCCACTTTGATCCAATTGTATAACACATTCACTTGTTGTCACAACAGTTGTTTTTTATTCTTTTCTCAAACATATTCACATTATCTTTACAGTAGCTTTATCCAGTAAACAAACTGGAAACATACAAAATATTTTAATAAAAAAAGACGAAGGTGACTTTTTTGTTGAAATTAGACGTCAATCCACAACATCGACCAACTATTTAGATACATGGTATCTATTTAGCTTGGGTGGCCTTCTTGGGTTTGGCTTGGGTACCTTCACGGAAGCCGTTGCGGAAACGTCTACGGACAACCTTCAAGTGACGCATGCGGCCGGTACCAGTGGTCTTCCTCCTCTTGGCCTTGATGGACCAGTTGTCTGTAAAAAACAAAATCACAAAATTAGTCGAAAGATTCTTGAAAATCATATTAAAGGAGTGAATATGTCCAAACACACAAATGATTATTAGATGAAAGTATCCTTTAATACATTAATGTTGTAATGTTTGTTTTGATCTGCCTGTGTGCTTGGGACCAAAAGCTATGGTAAAAACTAAGATCTTCAAAACACAGGCAATGAAAAAGCAAATTCCGTGATTTTTTACTTTAGTAACCACAAATAATTTACATATTGAATTGAACATAAATTTAGCTTGATATTTTGCTTTTCCATTATTTCTGACAAGATTTTGCAGGTTAAAATACTTACAGGAGCGCAACTTAGCAGCGGGATAACCGCATTGAGCGCAAGTTGACTTTTGGATGTGGTAGGAGGAGCGACCGCAACGACGGCACAAAGTGTGCGTCTTATTATGGCGTTTACCAAAGCTGGATGTACCTTTCGTCTGTAAAATTCGCAAGAAAAAAACACAAAATTAATAAAATATTCCAAATTATAGTTTTCTCTAATTGAAGCACTTTTTAAATCCTGTTGGAGTTCAAAACCATCACTAGATATTGTAAACACAGAAACATCCAAATTGTTTCATTCCACCACAACTCAATGCTCACTTTCGGACATTATTTACACAGATAAATTCTGTCATATATCACAAAACATTCCATACATTTTACAATTTCGTTCATATTTTACATTTTGCTTGCATTTTCACATAATTTCCATTGGTGATGGCTTAGAATTTTCAAGATTTAAAAAATTTACACAATATATAAATAATTCCTACCATCTTGGATCGAAAGACCGCAGAAGAAAGAGCGACACAAAGAAAAGGTCGAAATACGGCCAACTTCACATGACAGATGGGGTTGTCAAAAATCAACTGCAACTAACTTCAGGGCACAATAACATAGGTAATGAAAAAATTGGCAACGCGAGTGGATTTAGTTTGAAAAAAAACTAATAAATTGAAGAAAAAATTAAAATATATATTTTAATATATTTTTTATACTTTATTTTTTTAACATAAAGTACGTTTATATATATGAGGGTTAACCCACTGGATTTAGATTTAAATTGTCATATCTATTACTTTTACTTCAAATAAATCCTCTCAAAGTAGGTTAACCCTACAAAAAGTTCTAACGTAAACATGGCAATAGATAACTTTTATGGAAGGTTTATCTTAAAATAAAATAAAAAATGTCAACTTAGCGGTCCAATGTGGCAAAATATAAAAACAATTATTTTCTGTTTTTTTTACTCTTGTCGCATTTTTACCCCTGTCCTTTGTCAAATGTTTTTCTTTATTAGCGACAAAAATCGTTAACTTTCGAGAGTAAACTTTACATTTTAAAGTGAAATTAAATGGTCTGTTCCAGAACTGCAAGAATGTGAAACTTTTTACTGCGATAACCAATTTTCCTTTATGATATCGGAGAAAATTGCAAAACTAGTAGATTCTTGCAAGTTCTGGAACAGAGCAAAAGTTATTGTTGGATTATTTATTTTATTTTTCTGTTTTAATAAAAACATATACAGAACTACAAGAATATGAAAGTTTTTACTACGGTAACCCATGGTACAATAAAATCAAGGTAGGGCTATTATACGATATTATATTATTTTTTTTTTATTTTAATAATAGAAAATTGTTCAAAAAATATGTTTTTGAAAAAAATGGTCAACATTTTCCATTCATTTTTCACGATTTTCAATTTATTATTCAAAATCAACGCAACAAGTTTGGTTTTTTGATTGTTCTGATACTAATTTTGACATTACAAGCCAAACAAATAGACCTCTATGCTTGCAATTTTTCAAAATTTAGTTTACCTTGTCTTCATTGTACCACGCGATAACCGATGTTCCCTTAATGAAATCGAAAAAATTGCAAAAATAGACAATTTTTAGACATATTTAATATTCTCCATTCCCGTACTTTCTGAGCAAAGCAGCTCTCTCAGAGCGAAAATGTTACTAGTTTCACATTTAAATGACCTGTTGCAGAACCTGCAAGAATATACTAATTGTGTATTTTTTTCGTTATCATAGAGGAAAAATCGGTTATCGTAGTAAACACTTTTACACTCTTGCAATTTTGGAACATAGCAAAAATGTACGGGAATACAACAATAGGCCCTATATCTAGGAAATTGTGACATAAAAACTTTTGTAAAAAATGTCACCTGTAAAATTGTATAAGCGAAAAATTGTTCATAGATCTATTATCTATCACATGCTGTGTTTTAGAGCTACAAGAATGTAAAAGTTTTTACTATGATGCCCGATTTTTCCTTTATGATATCGAAAAAAATGCAAAACTAGAAGATTCTTGCAGGTTCTGGAAAAGACCAACCGTGGTGCAACTCTGTGAAGGAGTCTTATAGTCTCAAATAGACATTTAAATACGCAACATAATAATTTCAAATTATTGTTTTGTTTTAATTCAAAACAATACACAAAATGTGTATATATGAAAGAATAAGGGCACCATAAGAACAAAATTGTATTTATGGGGTAGCTTTGTTATACCTTTTGTTATTGTGCCATGAGAGCAACAATTCTGTGTTTCTTTAAACTTGCTGTGTGTCCAAGCCCCAAAAAAAGTTCATAGAGCTAAATTATTCGTAATTGGCAACACTACTTCTAATTTCTCTTGCTGCTTGCTGTATTTCTGCTCGGAGCTCGATTTCTGGAATTTGAGGATTTCAAAAAAGGACTCCCACTTACAATGAGTGTTCCTGAAAGTGCTGTTGGTTCCGAAACAGAGCTACTCCAGTGTCCGTATGAAATTTCCCATATGATTATGCGCAAACGTTTTCAAGTTCATTTGGTGCGCTGTCGCAAAAATCATCCCAAGGCCGAGGTAGTTACATGCCCCTTTAATGTTACTCATCGCGTGAACAAAGTAGAATTGGAGGTAAATTAAAACACATATATATTACACAGGGAATAAGATAATTGGAACAACTCTAGTTTAGTAAAAACTCTTAGATTTTTTCGAAATTTTTTCCAGAGGTAGGTATTTTTACCCTGATCCCGGGAAACTATTTTTTTCTTGGGGGACGGACCCGGGACCCCAGATTTTTGACCCGAAAGTCCGGGATCAAGACCACCTGGACCCGGATCCACTTACCCGATATAGACAATATCGATCGATTGAAAGCTTATGGAAATACCTATCCAACAAGTGGTCACATGAAGGGGTAAGTTGTCATGGTTCGGAAGTTATAGTCAAATTATCGATTTTTTGGACCCGGATTTTTTATAAAACCCCCAAAAAGTCAAAAAAGGGTCCATTATGGGGGTCAACAAAATTGTTTCCAAATTATAGCTGACACTCTTACCTTTCAAAAATGCTACAATTTGTGCTAATACCTTTTTCAGGTCCAGAGATATGGGTCTTTCCATCCGCATAACCCGATTCTAACCAGTTCATTAAAATGATGTTTTTAATAAAAAAAAGTGTTTATTTCGCGTAGCAGTCGTCGGAATAACAAAAGTTTTCTAAATTTGGCTCTTTTTGTAAATAGCCGGCCTTCGGCCGGGGCTTGAGATTTTCACCTATGGGTATGTCCGACACCGGCTAACGCGAACAAAAGGTTCATAATTTCGGCACTTTTTGCAAATAGCCGGCCTTCGGCCGGGACTTGAGATTTTCTCCTCTAGGTATGTCCTACACCGGCTAACGCGAACCAAAGTTTTCTAAATTGGATACCTTTTGTAAGTAGCCGGCCTTCGGCCGGGGCTTGTGATTTTCTCCTCTGGGTATGTCCTAAACCGGCTAACGCGAACCAAAGTTTCCTAAATTTGACACTTTTTGTATATAGACGGCCTTCGGCCGGGGCTTGTGATTTTCTCCTCTGGGTATTTCCCACACCGGCTAACGCAAACCAAAGTTTTCTAAATTTGACACTTTTTGTAAATAGCCGGCCTTCGGCCGGGGCTTGAGATTTTCTCCTCTGGGTATGTCCCACACCGGCTAACGCGAACCAAAGTTTTCTAAATCGGATACTTTTTGTAAGTAGCCGGCCTTCGGCCGGGGCTTGAGATTTTCTCCTCTGGGTATGTCCTACACCGGCTAACGCGGACCAAAGATTTCTGAACTTCATTCTTACGCAAAATATACCATTTTTTATTGAAAACATAGTTTTAATGAACTGGTTAGAATCGGGTTATGCGGATGGAAAGACCCATATCTCTGGACTCAGTGAAGGTATTAGCACAAATTGTAGCATTTTGGAAAGGTAAAAGTGTCAGCTATAATTTGGCATCAATTTTGTTGTCCCCCATAATGGACCCTTTTTTGACTTTTTGGGGGTTTTATAAAAAATCCGGGTCCAAAAAGTCGATAATTTGACTATAACTTCCGAACCGTAACATCTTACCCCATCATGTGACCACTTGTTGGATAGGTATTTTCATAAGCTTTCCAACGATACCCATATTGTCTATATCGGGTAAGTGGATCCGGGTCTAGTCGGGGTCTTGAACCCGGACTTTCGGGTCAAAAATCTGGGGTCCCAGGTCCGTCCCCCAAGAAAAAAATAGTTTCCCGGGATCATGGTTAAAATACCTACCACTGAAAAAATTTTCGAAAAAATTGAAGAGTTTTTACTAAACTAGAGTTAAGCCAGATAATTTTCTTTTCAGTGGCATTTATCAAATTGTTTTGATCGTAAATCGTTTGAAAACTTCCGCAACCGTCCTGCACCTGTGGTCGGCCTGAGCTCTTCAATTGATCGCACTTTCTGTGAAAGTGATTCAACTCATCGTAGTTTGTGCACAAGCATTGCTAGTGATGTTACCATAGTAGGTGGCGAGTTCGTAGAATCATCCGAATCGTGGGACGATGATCCGCACGTTCCCAGCTATAATCCAACGGATTATATTAATAAAGCTGATGTTTTACGCTTGCCAGTTGGTATGACACCATCTGAAAGAAATGCATTTCGTTTGGCTGAACGAAAACGTCTACAGTCTTTAGCCAAGTAAGCTATAGTATATAATAGTTACTTATCCATACATTCAATCATTTTGTTTTTAATGAAGATGATGAATTTGTTTCGTTTTTTTATAATTTTAACTGTATATAATAAATGAATTGCATAATTTTAATTTAATCGCTTTTGTTTCGAGGATGTAATAAAACAATGAAACCTGGGTAAATCTCGTAGCCTAGAGTTTACTTTCAATATTCCTGTGTTTAAATTAGGAAAAAATGGGGCATGTTATAGCAATTCGTTGTGTAAAACCGAACTTTAGAAATCTTGAATGCTGACATCTAAGAAAAATTGCATCGGAACGCTAACAAAGTCTTATGGATGGTATAAATCTGCAATGATAGACTTAAAGGATGAGTTGAAGAAAAATGCGAAATACTGGAGAAGTTTTAGTAAAAACTGGGTTTTTTGGCAGATAAAAATTGAATTTTTTATAAACTTATAGCCCATAAACTTAGTAATAATATTTTGTCGGCCTATACATGTTTTTAAATTAAAAACAAATAGAACACAAAGCATATATTTTAGTGTATCCCTTGTGCAGTCCCATCTCTGATCGTGAAGGTTGGCAACACATTTTTCATGGAGTGGGAATTCTTAACCAAAAATCGATGTTTGCCGATATGTCAGTTAATATTGTCAAGTGAGGTACACACCATCGACCAAATTTGGAGTTGCTTTTGCAGATAAATTATTAGTTGTATCCATGATACAATAAGGAGGTAGAACAGCTTCGTAAAACTGCAGAAATACAGCCCTGAGGCTATGCCCGTTTCCTGTCAAAATTATTCAAAATTATAGGCAACAAGTTGTTTTCATTTATTTGATATTTTTTGTTCATTTCTAAAAAGAGTCAAATAACGCGAAAGATGAATGAAATGCCTGGATGTTCCCTCAAAAATATGATCCTAAGTGTTCAATCTTTCAATTCCTTGGTAAATCTCGTTAATATTATTAATACACTCCCCGAAATTTAAGTTTCTTCCAATCATTGATTTTGAAAATATTTTGTTGTTATTTTTCAAAACAACAAATACATACACAAAATTGGCAGAAGTCGGGCACACTTAGAAAAAAATTGTAATCAGCTGGGAGCTCTACTCTACCTTTTTATTGTACCATGGTTGTATCCATGGTAGAAGAATATAGGTAGTCGCGACACAGCTGCTGGGACAATGAACTGTCAAACCAATTTTGGAATGGAAATTTTTGAATGAAAACTTATTAAAATTTGTTAAAAAACGCATATCATACTAACTCAAATTGACGTCGTATAAAAAAACATATAAAAATCTACTTATATTAAAAAAAAATACTAATGTAAGGATTAAGGTTATGATACATGTTAGGATTAAGGTTATGAGACATGCGCAGTTTGGCATGTAATATTTTGTAACATACCATAAAGAAAGAATATAATTCATTATAATCTGACGTACTTGATCGACGTTTTTCACCACCCAAGTAAAACAAATGTATTTATATGAGAGTTGCCCAAATGCGTCGGACGTACAAAATTTCAAATTAAACATTTTCAACTTTGACAATTAAAACAATTCCTCTGTTCCAGAACCTGTAAGAATCTATAGGTTTGCCATTTTTCCGATATCATAAAGGGAAAACCCAAGTAAAAATAATGTATTTATATGAGAGTTGCCCAAATGCGTCGGACGTGCAAAATTTCAAAATTAAACATTTTCAACTTTGACAATTGAAACAATTCCTCTGTTCCAGAACCTGCAAGAATCTATAGGTTTGCCATTTGCTTCACCAAAAGAAAACAACTGTATTTAGGCAATCCCACGGCGGCCGGTTCTATGTACCGGATTGACTCGGAGGCACATTTCTCCGACCAGGGGCCGCCAACCCAGCAAATACATGTTCGTGTTCGTCCATTTTTCTGATGTGGGAGCAACATTACCCGGAATGTTTGCTCCGTATTCTCTTGGTCCGAGCCGGGATCGAGACCAACCCCGGACCATGGTTCTGCTCCGTTTGTCGTAATCGCATCCACCACAGATCGGTTTCGGTGAGATGCAACGGATGCATGGAGTGGGTGCATTTCCGGAATTGTTCCGGCCTAAACCGGATACAGGAGTATAGCGATAGGGACTACATTGCTTCCTGCTGCGTCAATGTAGACCCCAGTGAGTCTTCATCTTCGGCGTCCTCATCGTCGTCGCAATATGAGACTCCCCCGCAATCTCCTCAACAGCAATCTACGCAGCAGCTGACGCCACACATTGCTGTTCAAGTTCCGGACAATGCATCATTTCTCCAATTTAATTGTGATGGTCTCAGAGGTAAGATCAATGAAATTGTAAGCTTTATGAGTCGGAAGAACATCAAGGTCGCAGCGATCCAGGAGACGAAGCTGAGTACCACCTGCAGGCTTCAAAGTTGTGATGGATACAACGTACTAAGGAAGGATCGCTCCAGAGGTGGAGGTGGAGGATTAGCGTTCCTATTGCACCACTCTGTCCAGTACAGACCTATCTCGCCTGAGCTTGACTCTAGTGACCCGTACATGGAATGTATGGGGGTAGCGGTCAAGTGTGGAACCGCCGAGGTAGAGGTGCTCAACGTGTACATTCCGCCGTTAAATAGCTGTGACCCACGTTATATGCCTAATATCAGTTCACTACTGGTAGGCAATAACCGTCTGGTGCTAGGGGATTTCAATGCCCATCATGAATTATGGCATTCCGTCCTAGGTAATGACCAGAGAGGCATGGCGCTGGCTGAGCAAATCGATAGCTCCACGTTTTGCACAGTGAATGAGGACGCGCCCACCAGAATAAGGGGAGACTGCCACAGTTCTCCGGACATATCCATCGTGTCCCCAGGTCTGACGAATGACGTAACTTGGCAATCAGTCATTTCTCTAGGCTCAGACCACCTCCCCATTATTATCGCCATCAATAGACCACCCGACTTCATCGACTCTGAACGCCGCACTTTCCTTAACCACGGGAAAGCTAATTGGCAAGAATTCAGAGAGTATACCAATCGCCGCTTCAGAGAACTGCCCAACCCATCTGATGTTCAGGTAGCAGATAGGTGTTTCCGGGACATCATCAAAGCTGCAGCCGCTCGCTATATACCTGCTGGTCGAATACCTGAAATAAGACCAAATTTCCCAGCAGAGGCAGCGGGATTAGCAAACGAGCGAGATGAGCTTCGCCGTACTAACCCTAATAACCCCAGAGTCAGGGAACTTACTCTGGAGGTAAACAGGTTAGTAGGTGAGCATAAGCGGAAAAAGTGGCTAGAACATCTGAAGCATTGCAACATCGGTACCGGAACGAGTAAATTGTGGGCAACGGTTAAGTCGCTTTCGAACCCTGGAAAAAAGGACGATCGGACATCTGCCTCATTTAACGGCGTAGAAGTGACAGATCCGAAGAGGTGCGCGTGTTATTTTAACCGGCAATTTGTAGAGCACCCCGAGAGTGACAGGGCGAAGAGAAGGATACTACGCCGTGTACGATCCCTTCCAGCCGAGGAGGTACCACCACAATTTACGTTGGCAGATGTTGCACAGGTCATCAGAAGCGCAAAGTCATCCAAAGCGCTTGGTCCTGACGGAATCTCAATGGTGATGTTGAAGCAACTGGATGAACCAGGAGTTGAGTATCTGACAAAGCTTCTCAATCTGTCGTTAGCCACCCTAGTAGTTCCCGATGCCTGGAAAATGGGCAGGGTGGTCCCGCTACTGAAGCCAGGCAAGGATGCCAGCAAAAGTGATTCATACAGGCCAATATCACTTTTGTCACCAGTAGCAAAGACGCTTGAGGCTTTACCCAGCATAAGAGAGTGTTTCCCAGTAGCCGATCATCAACACGGATTCCGAAAATTGCATAGCACAACAACAGCTTTACACGCCATTTCCACACATGTCAGTAGAGGTCTCAACCAGAACAGGCCGTGCGATAGAACAGTTATGGTGGCACTTGATTTATCAAAAGCCTTTGATACAGTCAATCATGCCACACTGTTCGAGGACATTGAACGCACCACCCTCCGGCCAAGTTTGAAACGTTGGATAGTAAACTACATGTGTGGACGCCAGTCGTACGTGGAATTCAGAAACAAGAAGTCGAGCATCCGTAGAGTTAAACAGGGAGTTCCCCAAGGTGGGGTGATATCTCCGGAACTGTTTAACCTCTACCTTTCTGAAATTCCACGCCCTCCAGACGGCATAGAGATTATTACGTACGCAGATGATTGTACGCTCGTGGCGTCCGGACCCATTATTGATGACATTTGCGATCGGTTGAACGCTTACCTTGTTGATCTTACCGCCTTTTTCACTGCGAGGAATATGAAGATATCCGCCACTAAGTCGACGGCCACACTTTTCACCACATGGACTGCGGAGATGGGGCTATCCTTGAATGTGCAGGTCGATGGTGCTATTATTCCGACCACCAACTACCCCAAGGTATTAGGGGTCACATTCGATAGCCTCTTTAAGTCGTCCGCGCATACCACAGCTATCTGCGACAAGACTAGAAGTAGGAACAAGGTCCTCAAGTCTCTGGCCGGCAGTACTTGGGGAGCTGATAAGGAGACCTTGTTGACCTCTTACAACGCGATAGGCCGGTCTGTGGTAAACTATGCGGCTCCAGTGTGGTCCGCTAACGTCAGTGCTACGCAGTGGAAAAATGTTCAGTCCTGCCAGAATGCCGCCCTTAGAACCGCAACAGGGTGCCTTCTCATGACACCCGTCGATCACCTACATGAGGAGGCGAAGGTCTTACCGGTGCGACAGCATAACAAAATGCTGTCAATGCAATACCTGCTTGGGTGTTATAGACAAAGCCATCCAAATCACCATCTTGTGGATAGGCAACCTCCGCCCAGGCACATTAGGAAAGACCTTCATGATCTAGAGAGAGAGGTACAGAGGTATAAGAGAGAGCCTCTAGATCAACAGGCCTATCAAGCGGGACTGAATAGTATTCACTCTAATGCGGTCTCAGAAGCCATTGAAGGATATAGAGTGAATACTGTGCTAGGAGACCATCCCCCTCCCGTCGCAGCTGAAGAACGAGAGCTGCCCCGACAAACCCGAGTAGTCTTGGCTCAATTACGATCCGGATGGTGCAGCCGCCTAAATTCCTACAACAACAACAACAACTGTATTTAGGGGTTATCTTTGTTCTACCTTCTGTAATTGTGCCATGGTC